AGAGAAAGTTCACCCTGTATTTCATTGTAGCCTACTGAAACCTTTTTGGGATTCTACCTTAAGACCTCTCCCTAAGAAGGCACTTGGAATCTCGTAGTAGCAGGACAGACTCACTATGAAGTGAAGCATATTCTTGATTCAAGAATATTTAAAGGGAAATTGCAGTACTTAGTGCAATGGAAGGGGTATCCATTTGAAGCCACCTGGGTGAAATCTAGCAATGTAAAAGCTGACAGACTCATTAATAGATTCTATAAGAAACACCGTTATAAACTTAGATTTGATTTTGTTTGCATTACAGGATTTGTCCTTTTTATAAGGTGGGGGGGTGGTGGATGTCAACGCTGCTAATATTGGATGTTCTTGCTTTGACAACAGATGGAAATGCAGCCATTTTCTCTATTGCTTTTATAATTAGTTGCTGCTGGGAGGGAGAATAGGGATGAGAGTCCAGCTAGTCATAACAATAATAACTTAATCATGGGAACCCAAGGACATTGGGCCCAGAGCTGATAGTGTTTTGGCGGGCTGGAGAGCTGGGGAGAAAGCCTGCGCTTCAAGCCAATTGGGGAATGTGATTTATGACTGTTTATTGGAGGAGGGAATTGCACTTTGTTACTTTGTATCAAGGGGAGGGGAATTTAGTTTCTGGTTTCAACTATGTAGTGCCGATACTTTGTTTCTTGAATAAAAGATTCTTTAAGGTAAACAATGCCTCAAAGTTCTTTGGAAGAGTTTCATCTATCAGAACCATGACATTAGGAAGATAACTATAATGGGTTTTGGGTCCCATTATTTTTTTGTTTCTTTTAGAATCCATTGGGCTATGTTACATTCTTCTAGTCTGGGTGTATGTAAAATTCTCTTTTGAATACTTGTCTGCAGAGGCTTCCAGGATTCATGGGATTGAAATCCAATATACTACAGTGTACATTCTGTGTGAAAGCATTTAAAAATCTTTCCTTAGTTAAACAAAAACAGAAGACATAACCAGAAAAGTCGTAATATTTGTTTCTTCTACTAAAATTGGCAATAAAATGGTGTCCATGAAGCAGAAACATTTACATGATAGAATCCTTGTTGTGTTGAGGAGAAGGAAAGGTCAAGGCAAGATTTCCAAGCCAACCTAATTATATAAAGTGAATGCAAAAGCCTGAGGTGAATAAGATGGACATTGTGTCAGTTTTCTACTAATACGTTCCTCCATTTTGTGAGACAGAATGTCTTTTTAAAACATTTGCTTTCCAACCAGGATAAATTTAATTCTGAGAAAATGCTTTCCAAAGGTCTGTGTGTCTTGTAAAATAGGAATGAGTGTGACCTGGCTTGAACAATTAGTTGCCCAGCCCTATCCATTTATTATTGTTTCCAAAAGGGAAACTCAGGAATTCTTACTCTTCTAGACAAAAATAAATTCAAAATGAATGTTAATTGTAGGAAAACTTCAGCATTTAAATAAGAGTTCAACAAGGAAAATAACATTGCTATGTGTAGACTTGGCATATATTAAAAGATCTTTGTAGCAAAGATATCTTCTAAGTTCTTTTGCCAATTGTAGGCAAAATGGCCTACCACACACACACAAAAATCACTTGGTTTTGGCTCTGTCCCTTTCTTTTAGAGATGGGGAGTGGCAAATAAATTAATCCTTGTGGCATTTCTAAAGCAACTTTTGGATTGAGTTTCATCCTATATAATTACAAACTGTGAGCACCATAGTAAGTTACTTTGTTCTTTTTTTCTAAATTGCTATGCATTTTAGAAAATTGTCGATTGTTATTCTATGTGGCCTGGCCATTTCAGTTTTTCCTAGCTAGTTCTACTTTGTGCTTTACTTCTTCGAGGTGTGATATTTTCCAAAATAATAATATCTTTGAATATACAATTATTATGGAAAGGTATTTAGTAGAATATTTTTATCAGAATGAGTTGTGACTTGCTGAAACAATTTGCTGCTGATGTATCATGTAGTGGAGATAGTGTTTGTATATGTGTGTTTGTGTGTACTAATTTTTCTAAATATGTATAGCCCATCTTTTGGTTCTGTTATGTATATGCTTGTAGATCCACAAGGCTCCATCTTTTCCAGGATGAGGTAACAGAGAAAGTTGACTGCAGAGAAGCAGCTGAAATACTAGCTATGGGCTGTGGGTAATCAGAAGAAAAGCTGAAACTATCTTCCAGAATGTAAACACCCTTATAGCTTAATGGACCTATTTACATTGAAGGAGACCAGGAAATGAAATTTGTTTTGTTGTTCCAAATAAGCCCATGCAGATGGTAAGCAGAACCAGACGAGTCAGTGAGTATGAATGCAATGACTTTTCCTTTGAAAAGTGCTTGATTTTATCAAATTGTTTACTAAACTGTCACAACAAGGCATGAAACCAAGGAACCCTTCTACAAGCTCATATTGGCAATATGTTCCTGAAAGTGGGCAGTGATGGAAACATGGCTTAGTTGGCTTCCTGCCATGAAGTAGATGAAATAATCAGCCACATTTCTCTGAAGCTATTGAACGTGGTCTCATACTGTGGGGTAGCTATAGGTGTGGACATGATGAGAATCAGCACTGACCATAGAAAATGGCTTCTTTAGATTTACATTTCATATAATTTGCAGACAGGTTAGATGGCTCTTAAAAAAGCAGATCCTTCCTTGGTTTATTTTGCATAAACTATGTAGAATTATTTTGCAATGATTCAGACCAATTATTTTCTCTAGACCTGAATAGAGAAAAGAATATCTGCCCTGGATTTGAAGAAGATGGGAAAATTATTATAGCAGGATCCAAAGCTGTTGCACTTTGCCTTTGAACTGGGAGCTAAGAGAGATGGCAATATATTCTCTCTGCTCTTCTCCCACTGCACCCCATCCCATTTTTAGTCTGTGTGTGTCGATTTAAAAATAAATTGGTTCTGATTAGCAAATGAGAACAGGACGGTTAAACTGAATTTTCAAAAGAACATTGTGAATTCTGTGTGGGAAAAAAGAACACTCCCACCTGCCTTTGCTCCTCATCTTATTGCCTTTAGTTTGCTCTTACCCACTATTATTTAATAAGAATTCTATTGAAAAAATTTTCTTCTTTCTTTTTATTCAATATTTATCTGGTTCTTCTGCAATCCCATATTTCCTAGCCATTGTTGAACAATTGTGAGATCTTCCTTTCAGACTGATTGAGAAATAAATGGCAGATGTCAATGGAATGGGCTTCAACTTTTCTGTGTTGAATAATATAGCTGAGAAGTAGGAAGAGTGTGGAACTGACACTTTTCCTCAATTCAAAAACCAAAACACAATTATCTGGTAGCTATGTCCTGGTTCTTGACTGACAATGTTTTGGGAACTTCATGTATCCATTCATGTATTCTTTATAGAGGGTAATGCTGTGTTTGTTAGGTATCCTTGCTAGACTTCTCTTCCCCATTCCTTCTTATTCCGCGAAGTTTCTCCAGTTTTGTTTTTCTTTGACTGGCTAAATGTTTTCTGTGTCAACAACAGAAGAGAATGAAGACTTTCCATTTTATGTTTTTTGCATTTGGAAACCAGAATGAAATCTGACAATTATAAAAGAATAAAAGAATAAACTATGACAAAAAAACTGGCTATTGTTCTGAAAATTTGGAATTATCTGAAGCAATACAGGTAGTCCTCAAGTTATGACCACAATTGAGCCCAAAATTTATGTTGCTAAGGTAACATTTAAGTGAGTTTTGCCCCATTTTACAACCTTTCTTGCCACAGTTGTTAAATGAATCATTGCAGTTGTTAGGTTTGTAACACAGTTGTTGAGTGAATCTGGCTTCCTAATTGACACTGCTTGTCAGAAGATCACAAAAAAGGAGATCACATGACCCCAGGATACTGCAACTGTCATAAATATGAGCCAGTTGCCAAGCATCCAGATTTTTATCATGTGACCAGGGGGATGTTGCAATGGTTGTAAGTGTGAAAAACGGTCATAAGTCACTTTTTTCAATGTCGTTGTAACTTTGAACAGTCACTAAAAGAACTGTTGTAAGTCTAGGACTACCTTCATGAATCCTAAATATGAAGTACTAATCTCCCTTTTTGGAACATATTAAAGCTATCTGATTTTTTGCTTTGTCAATGCATATTTGTTTATTTAAAACTTTTATATAGACACTCATCTTGCACCAAACTCTGGGTGGCTTGTAACTAAAAAATAATACAAATATTAAAACCACAAGTATAAAGCCAAAAAAAACTTCCAAAACCTGGTACAGTACCATAGCTAAACTTTCACATGCAGCTTAGATGTTCATCTCATCAGTCTCATCCTATCCCAGCACTTGGTGATAAGTTATTATTAAGCCAGGTCTTAGTGCTTTTCAGAAGGTTAAAAGGTGGGGTCCTGCCCAATTACTACTTTGCCAACCTGGTAGTCAGTGTTTTACCATGTTCTGTCCATACTGAGATTTCCTGACCTCTACATAGTTTTCACGTGAGGACAATGAGATATTCTATTTTTCTAAGTGTATTCTATGGCTTGATGTGATCAATACAATTGAGGGCTTTTTTTCTAATTAATGAAGCTCATAGTTATTCTTTGGCTCTCCCAATTATTCAGCATGCACCAGCAATAATGTCTTGTGTTCCTCAGCCTTTTCTAAAGCCTTTTTGAACATCTGGTATCTCGTCTCTCATGAGGTTTCTAATCTGCATTAGATGATCCTAAGCATTATTTTGTTAGCATGTGAGATTAATGATATTGTACCATAGTTTACACACTCTGTTAGGTCTCCTTTTTTTGGCATTGAAATGTGGATCAGGGTCTTCCAATCTCTTTGCTTCTGTGTCATTCTCCAGATTTGCTGGCATAGTTTAGTTAGAATCTTCACTGATTTTCCTTCTGTTGCTTGCAGTATTTATGGCACCTGGGACTTTGAGCTTTCTGTGCAGTCTCATAGTCCATATACACAACATCTGCCATGAAGAGGACCTCCGTACCTGTACTGATGTTTAAACCTCAAAAAATGGCCAAACAGAAAGTGGACTTTGAAAACAGGTGCTTTCAAAAGAGGTGGGAGGCAGAGTGTGTCTGTTTACTGACATTGAAGATAAGGCCCTGTGCCTTGTTTGTGGAGCTAATGTGATTGTACTTAAAGAATATAACATGAGACGGCACTATGAGACGAAACGTCAGGACAAGTACAAAAACCTGCCCATACAGCAGAAGCTAAAGAAGGTGGAAGAGTTTTAAAAGAGTCTGATGTCACGGCAGCATTTGTTCAGAAAAGCAAAATCACAAAGTGAAGCTGCTGTGAAGGCTAGTTTTATAGTGGCAGAAGAGCTAGCTAAATCAGCCCAGCCATTTACAGAGGGGGAGTTTCTGAATTTCTGCATGATTAAAATGTGCAGTCTTGTGTCCAGACCAAAAGCAAGCATTTTTTAATGTAAGCCTAAGTAGAAATACTATGGCTGATCAGATATGTGAGCTTGCTACTGATTTACAAGTACAATTGATTGAAAAGGGAAAAGATTTCACTGCATATTCTCTTGCTGTGGATGAGAGCACTGACATCACTGGCATGGCACAGCTGGTAATCTTTATCCGTGGAGTCGACTCAAGTTTACACATTACAGAGGAACTTTTGGATATGAAATCAATGCATGGCACTATCACATGTGTAAATGACATGAAACTGCCCTGGGACAAACTTACAGGACTGACAACAGATGGAAGACCTTCGATGTGCAGGGAAAAGAGTGCATTAATGGGAAGGATGCAAGAGAAGATGAAGAGCAAGAATTGCACAGGTAAGCTAACAGCATATCACTGCATCATACACCAGGAAACACTATGCAGCAAAACCCTGAAGATGGAATGTGTAATGAGCACTGTAACATAGACTTTATAAGAGCCAAAGTTTTAAATCACCATCAATTTAAGTTTTTTTCTGGAGGAAATACATTCTGAACTTGGTGGTCTGCTCTGTCACACAGAAGTGTGATGGCTAAGTTGAGAAAAAGTGAATAGATTTTTTTAGAGTTGTGTAAGGAAATCTGTCAGTTCATGAAAAAGGCTCCACAGTATTGCAGGATGAAAAGTGGCTGTGTGAGTTAGCTTTTCTGTGCGACATAACTAAACATCTCACTGCGCTAAACCTTCAGCTTCAGGGACAGAAACGTGTATGATGCAATGAAAGCCTTTCAAGTTAAGCTGCAACTGTGAGAGACTCAGATGCAGCAAGGAAACTTGAATCACTTTCCCTGTTGCCAAACAATCATAAACCAAGTCTCCACCACTGTGCTCTCAGATGTTCATTTTGCTAATAAACTGAGCATATTTCACATGGAGTTTACACGTTGCTTTGTTAACTTTGAAGCACAGAAATTCAATTTTGGACTGCTCAGTAATCCATTTGCAGTCGACATGGAGAAAGCATCTGTAAGCATCCAGATGGAGCTGACAGAACTCCAATGTAACAGCACACTTAAGGCAAAGTATGATTCTGTAGGGCCCGCACAATTCCCCAGGTTCATTCCCAAAACAATGCCCCAACTCCACCTACAAGCTGCTCGAATGCTCTGCATATTTAGTAGTACATGCCTGTGTGAGCAACTTTTCTCTATGATGAAGGTGAACAAAAACGCACACAGAAGTCTTCTCATTGATGCACACCTCTACTCTATCCTGAGAGTTTCCACTCTCTGAACCTTACTTCAAAAATGAATGAACTTTTGGCAAGAAAAGATGCCAACCATCCGGCTCAGACAAAATGGCATGAGAGCAAGAGAGAGAGAGAGAACTAACTAGCTTATGTGTTTTCTTTGTTTTAAATTGTTTTTGCAGATTTATTTGAAATATTTGTTCATATTTGAAATGTTAATCCTGTTTGGCCCACGTCTTATACATAATACACTCTTGAAGTAATATGATACATAGTCTTACACGCAACTAACCCTTTTAGGGCGACCATAATGGTGATGCGGCCCTCAATGAAATTGAGTTTGACAACCCTGTACTAGATGAATCTTTGCAAAGCCCTCCCCCAGCCATGGCTACCACCTGCCCCTCAAGCAGGAGTCCAAGAGGACCCCCAAATTGGGTACCAGCTCAGTCTGAGAAAGTGCCCCCCAGTCCAGAGTGAAGTATCATCTCAGCCTGGGGGGGGGACACAAAATACTCATAGCTATTCTGCCTTACCAGGGTTGCGTTGAAGCCAGTTCCTCTCCATCCAGATCCTTACAGCTTTCAGGCACTGCCCTACTGGTGGATGACATCTCCTAGCAGTTTCATGTACATGTTGTATGTTAAAGCAATTTTTTGTAGATTGTATTCATTTTTAATGGATCAAAAGTCATGAAAAAATAATTAATAAACAAATCCTGCTTCATTATTCATGAAATCTTTTATGTTTATCTTTTATTGATTTTATTACATTTTTAAAATTGTTGTGAGGCACCCAGAGTTGTTGGTGTGGGTGGCATATACATTTAATAAAAAAAATTATTATTATTATGGTTAGTTACCCAGTCAGACAGATGTTTAGAAAGGATTTGGCATTTTAATCCACCTATCAAGTCCTTTCCAAAGACCTGGAATAGGAGATGTCTGATGATGTTAAAGATATTGTCACAGGATGTAAGCTGTTCCAAGTAAAGCTGCCTGATGGTGATTTTGTTAATGCTAATGGTGTTCAAGTGGTCCAGATGTTTTTTGGAATTGGACCCAAGGAGCCTATTAATATTGGTACTACCTTTGCTTTCTTTTGCCACAGTTATTCTTCTATTAGCTCTCCTCCTCCTCCTCCTCCTCCTCCTCCTCCTCCTCCTCCTCCTCCTCCTCTTCCTCCTCAATATTTTAGTTTAGAGAGTCTATAGTTTATGAGGACAAAAATCAACCTTATATTTTTTTTCACCAGTAGCTTCTCTAGCTCCTTTTAACGCTGGAAATAAATTTCAATTCTAATTAGCTATAATTAGAATGAAATAAATGCTAGGATTTTAAAGATCCCAACTCCCATAATTTAGCGGCATCCACAATTGTGGTGTTCTACAGAAATGTAATTATTACTGTATATAGTTGTCTAAAACATCTAAATGGAATTAACATATGCATTCCTTTAAAATATGTATTACTCATTAGGTTGTATTCATTTTTACATTTATTCTTCCCTATATACAATTTCTTGATGCATTCCATATTGCATCATAATTCATGAGGAAATAATCGGAGTTGTCATCACCCAAGCAGAGCTACTATAGCAATTTCAAGATTCTCCGACTGAGTTCTGAAATATTCACTAGCAATCTAATACTATCAGAAGTCAAAATTCTTTAATGAAATCAGATTGTGCAGGCTGTATTATTTTTGGTAGCAGGTTATTCAACCTATGTGCTAAATTTGCAATTAGAATTGCAATTGTTTGCTATATGTAACAATGATATTGGATGATAACTCAAACAATCTATAGTGCTAGCCCAGTTTCAAAATTACCACTATATAGGCCTAGTAAAATAAGAGAAGAACTCCATTTTCAAAACATCATTATTTATTTCTAATAATATAAGGGCCAGGTTTTCTTTACTGTATATTTTCCACCATTCTATTGGAAAGTCATCTAGCCCAGATATAATTGATTTCTGTAGAAAACTACCTTCAAATCCTCAGTCTTATATCCTTTGATGATATCATTTTATCTGTGGTGGAATCTGCAGCTGAGATGGGAGATGGAATTCATATTTGTCATGGTGATACACACAAATTATATTTTCTTCTCAATCTTAAAACCTGTGTTTCTTCATCAGTTCTGTTTGAGCATCTATTTTCATGTTTTTTCTTAATATCTTAATATCTTGGTTGATCATAAAACATGCTAATGTACCAAATTCTTTTAGTTTTCCCATTAATATTTCAATTCCCTTAAAGGATCTTCCAAAACTAACACTAGGTCATCTGCAAAAGCTCTTAGCTTAAAAAAGTCTCCTTTTTAATCTTTATTCCATAATCTTCTCATCTTGCCTTCTATCTCTGTTCAGTATTTCAAGAACCGAAATAAACAAAAGAGGAGACGGTCAGCATCCCTGTCTTGTTCCTTTTGTATCTCACAGGGCTTTGCTAAATCTCCATTAACAATTATTTGTGCTTTTGTGAAGTATAAACTGATCTTATCCATTTTATAAAGCTCTTTCCAAAGCTTATGTCTTCCAAAACTTTGAACAAGAGGGCCCAATTCAAATTGTCAAAGGCCTTCTCTGCATCTAGGAAAATCAGTGTGGCTTGTTTTTCATTACATTGCTCCAAATATTCCAAAATGTCTAACTCATTTCTAATATTGACCTTTAACTCTCTTTTAAGTAAAAAGCAAACAAACATTGGTCCTTATGAATAAATTCTTGCAAAATTATTTTCAGCCTGTCAACCAAAATCTTGTAAACAATTTGTGATCATTATTCAATAACAATATTAGCCTACAGTTTCTTGTTAAAGTCAAATTTTGTTCCTATTTAGGTATTTAAGTATTAATACTATAGTGGCCTCTTTCCAGCGCTCTGTCATCTTTTTTCCCTATAAAATAGAATTCATCATATTTTGTAACGGTTGTAAAAGTTCATCCTCAAAACATTTATAATAAGAACCTGGTTAATTGTATGGTTCAGGAATCATGTCTGTACTTCTAGATAGATAAATAGACATAACCTTTATTGTCATTTTTTACTGCAGGCACATTAAAATACTAAAAAATTTTTAATTTCATTAAAAATGAAATTTAGTTGCTTGCTCTCAAAGTGTACACATATATGTTGTTCGTCCATTGATTTTGATGAGGACCTTGACATCTTGTAGATTATGGGCCATCAACGATGTGTCCCTAGGTGGCTGATAAGACTGATGTTAGCACGGAATGTTCTACCACATACTGAACAAAGAAATGTAGACACTGTTACTTCAGCATTGACAGCTCTCGCTTTGCGGAGTGCTCGCTTCTCTTGTGCCAAGATTGTCCTTCTGTGTTCATATGTCTGGCAACTCTGGTACACCAAGGTACGCCATGTCGGTCGATCATGCGCCAGAAGTTCCCAAGAGATGGTGTTAATATCCAGGGACTTGAGAGAGGCTTTCAGCGTGTCTTTGTATCGCTTCTTTTGTCCCCCGTGCGATCTTTTTCCTTGAGACAGCTCACCATAGAAGAGCTGTTTAAGGATGCGATGATCTGGCATCCTTACAACATGGCCTGCCCAGCGCATCTGGGCTTTCATCAACAGAGTATAAATTGATGATAAACCTGCTCTGGAGAGGATATCTGTGTCTGGTATCTTATCCTGCCACCGGATCCTCAGAATTCTACGAAGGCAAGTCATGTGGAAGTAGTTCAGTTGCCTAACGTACCTCCTGTACACTGTCCAGGTCTCACTAGCATACATCAGGGTAGTTAGCGCTGCTGCCTGGTAAACTTTAAGCTTAGTAGCAAGGCTTATTCCATGGCGGTCCCACACGTGAGTCCACAATCTGCCAAATGCAGAACTTGCCTTGGCAATTCTACAGTTGACCTCGTTGTCAATTGTCACTGCACGGGAGAAGGTACTTCCAAGATACATAAATTGATCCACTGCTTGGAGCTTTTGTCCCTTTACTGTGATGGTAGGCTCTTGATATTGGACTTTTGGAACTGGCTGGTACATCACTTCAGTTTTCTTCATGTTGATGAAGAGGCCAAAGTTGTCACAAGCGGTTGCGAATTTGTCCATGCTGGCTTGCATTTCCTGCTCCGATCCTGCATTAAGAGCGCAGTCATCAGCAAAGAGGAGATCTC